CTTTGTTTCGGTGGCAATCAGGATGTCATCCACATACTGTAATAATTTCCCTTCTTCAGACGGGATTTCCCAGGACTCCAAGTCTTTTGCAAGTTGATTGCCGAAGATGGTAGGACTGTTCTTAAATCCTTGTGGCAGCACCACCCAAGTGAGCCGAGTCTTTCGACCACTTTTGGGGTTCTCCCATTCAAATGCGAATAATTTCTGACTGGCTTCATGGAGAGGGAGGCAAAAGAAGGCATCTTTCAGATCTAAAACAGTAAACCAGGTTAGTTTGAGAGCCAATATGGTCAACAAAGTATATGGGTTTGCTACTACTGGGTACAGGTCTTCTGTTATTTTGTTTACAGCTCACAAATCCTAGACCACCCGGTACAACCTGTCAGGTTTATGGACAGGTAGTATAGCGGTGTTAAAATCCGACTTGCACTCTTTCAATAATCCTAACCGTAAAAATCTTTCTATCACTGGCCGGAATTTTCCCTTATCTTCCTGTTTTAGGGGATATTGCTTAACTCTTACCGGTTGCCAGCCTTTTTTGAGTCCAACGGGTGGAGCATTCCCACGGTCTACTTTTGAAGTTTAGAGGAGCAAGCCAAGCAAGCAGCCCCAGTGTGTGTATAAATTTCTGGCCACAATTTCTCTAACTAAATGTTTGTACAGAGCCTCTGTTCCCCAATGCCTTTTCCTGTGTTCTTCCCTTACCAAATGCCATATCAGACAGGAAGGAATGATTAGTTTTCCCTGTGGGGTTTGAGCCCACCCTTCCTCATTATATGACCCTTCTAGATCTGTGACAAGTTTCTGGTCGGTTTGCACTGGCCGATGTGGCTGCAGCAGTCGCCCCAGTGAGAAACCGAGATACTCTGTCTGGAGATGAAAAGGCAAGCGCTGAGCCAGGGACTCCTAAACGTGTGCAAGCAGTGACATCTACCGCCGAGTGACAGCAACAGCTGTCAAGGCTGGACTCGTGTGTGCGCGAGCTCTCCGGAGAAGTTCTCACATTCGCGGCAGTGCTGCAGAAGGCGCTGGGCAGTGACCCACAGGCTACGTTGGAAGGTTGAGGTGGCAAGACAAGCAAGCAGCCCCAGTCTCTGTGCCTCTGTTCGAGCAGTGCCATGGGCAGATGAGGCTGAGCAACAGCTTTCCAGGCTAGCCCCTTCTGGGTGGAAGCTATTCAGATATATGTGCACTTTCAGGGCAGGGTTGTGGCAGGCATTTGGTAGAGACACCTCCTCCTCCTCCCCCCCCCAGGCTATACTTGAAGTTTGAGGTGGCATGGGAAGCACAAAACCCAGTCTCTGTGTTCCTGTGTGAGCAGTGCCATGGGCAGACAAGGCTGCACAACAGCTTTCCAGGCTAGCCCCTTCTGGGTGGGAGCTAGCCCTGCCCTGCCCCAAACGTGCAAAGGTCTCCAGGTAGCTCCCTCACAGACAGAGGCAGCCTTGCAAGCTGTTCCTCACACTCATCTGCTCACTGCACTGCTTGCACAGGCCCACAGAGACAAAGATGCTATGTGTGAAGTTTGAGGTTGCAATGCAGCCGCGGAGCCGCAGTGTTTGTGGTCCTGTGAAAGGGATGCCACGGGAATACGAAGTCCAGCAACAGATTTCAATTCTTGCACCTTCTGTATGGGAGCTATTGGTGGATGCTTGCAATTTTAGAGTTGGGCTCTGGTGAAGTCACATTGCTTTCCCAAACTTCACTTTTTCCCATGGAACCTTTCAAACTTAACTCTTTTTCTATGTTTATTTTTCTTACTCCATTAAACCACATGCATGCAAAAACAGCAACCTCTTTGACCATGCTTGCACAATAGAGCATGGTTTAAAAATTCCATTCCAAGTAATAAATGTATATTTCAAAGAATATAAAAATTATTTAGGCCTTAACCTAAGCTACCAGCCTTCTAGTGACGTAAGCCGTCATTTGAATCATGTGATAGTTACGTTGCATTTGTGAAGGAAAACTCTTGCAGTTGAAAAGCAGCTTAAGAGCTATACAGCCTCTGCTTCCACGTTGCAGGCAAGCAGCTCCAAATGGACATCATTTCTGGTCCATGATGTTTCCAGAAGTTTAGCTAAGGTATACATGTAAGCACATGTTCACTTCTAGAAGCTATCTGCCACACCTGATGTCTCCAACACTCACAGCAGGTCTGCCTCAACACCACCGCTCCTCCTCGCCTCCAAGCACCATCCCAACACCACCGCTCCTCCTCGCCTCCAAGCACCATCCCAACACCACCGCTCCTCCTTGCCTCCAAGCACCGTCCCAACACCACCGCTCCTCCTCGCCTCCAAGCACCATCCCCCCTCCCACAGCTGAGCCCCAGCAGCCCCAAGCCAACCTGCCCGCGGGGTCACGTCCACCTCATTACCTGGGATTTGTTCCTTAGCCTGTTGCAAGAAAACTTCAAACGCCCACTGCAGAGTCTGGCTGGGAAGGTGGAAAGCTGTTTTTTGGTGAAGGAAAGCCAGCGTGCCCTCTGAGATGGTTGCGAGCGGGGACCTCCATGGCCACAGCACCTGCAGAGGCTCCTCTGCCCCTCCCACCCTTAGAGCCGACCTCCCCCGGTCCGGAACCGCTCGCAGCCCCATCCCATTTTTACCATGGAAAAGGGTAAGAGAGTTGTAATGAGCGGCTCCAGGTCTGGCCTGTTGTCAGATGCCCACCTGGGGGTCTCCAGTCCAGCCAAAATGCCGTCACCACCCTGGCAGTCTTTTTACACAGGTAAATTACAGAAAAAAAACAAACGTACACCACGCTCAAGTCCCACGTGTTAGGTTTTACACACGCACAGCCTGAAACATCCAAGTTCAATTTCTATAATTAGTTTCCACCATTTCATGCTAAACAGGGATTAAAACAGCAGTTGGCGATAGCTAAACTTCTTTTTAATAGGTAACTAGGTACAGACTTTGCGCACATCAGTGTGCTCCTAATTTCCATTCACGCTAGCATGGGACTACACCTGGAAGTTCTGAACTGTGACCGTCATTGACTAAACCCTGAAGGCACCAGAGGGCAAGGGGAATGCGTATACCTGAAACATGGCTGATGTCACTTCAGATGCTCTATTGCAGCCCCGGCTCAGCTTTCTCCACTTAAGGAAGGCGCAACTCATATATAAACAACAAGGGAAGGAGCTGTAAAAAGCCCAGCTGCTATGGAACTTGGAGCTATAAGAGGAAAATCAGATGTTTCAACTGCTTTGCAAAGCCATGACCAAGAGGTGACCCGCTGGACCACAGCGGAACGTAATTGTGTGGACTAGCAGCTACACGGCACAGGTACTGTAGTGCTCAGGATAGAGACTGCCATGAATTTTAAAAGGGAGAAGCACCCTCCTCAAAGGCACAATTACAACATTCATTCTAATAGCGCAGTCCTCTAGTACTACTTTAAAAGCAAGATTTTTGGTAGACTTGGAAACATTAATTTAAACAATCCCACTTGAAAACAATGAAAAAGCCTTCTCTCCAGTCCCACCTGATTGTGATAAAACTTCAGATGGGAGGGTTTAATGATGAAATGGCATCTGGCATGGGATGCTTCTGACTAGAGAGAATAACAATTCAGTATGGTTTTTTTTTTTACTACAGAAAGGTTGTCTGGCTCCATCTTGATATAAATGTACTATTTTGTGTTGCACAGCAAAGGGAATGACCCGTTAGGCCAATTAAATCCAAACATTAACACAGTTTCAAGGTCAATACTTTGTTTCTGGCACCAGAGGGAGAGAACCAAGCATGTAAACAGTTACATTACTTTGCCTAAAAAATGTTCCACTACAAGGGAAGTATACAACAGGCACATTTCTGGGTTACCAGCACATGCAAGAAACTAAAAAGAAAAATCACACCACTCTCAAGGTACATATGCTTACCTAAACCTAGGAGAAAGCAAAAAATGAGTGAAAGATACTTACCAGAGAATGATGCCCCATGAAAATACATTAAAACAAAGCATAAGTTACCTTCAAAAGCCAACACACATTGTAAGCATATATTTTATTTGTTGTAATATAAAGAAGCATACATCATTCCGTTTTCTGAAGTACAACTCAGATTGTACGCTAACAAAAAAGATCAATTCAGACATCCACGGACACGTCACAACAGGATTCATTACATTTTGCTCTGCTGGTATTGCACTTGGAATGGTTTTGAAGTAAGGCACAGTAAAAACAAAGTCATTTAGTGCTTCTACAGCAGATGTCTTTTTTTAAACACATGCTACATGATGTAAAAGTACTTCTAGCTTATGTATATACACAGACAGGGAAAAAGAAAAAAGCATGCACTAGAGGACTTATATTTCAACATATCTTGTTTCATAATATACAAATAAAGTAGTTTAAAGATGTAAACAAATTGCATGCACATAAACTAGAGCAAAATCTTTAATACAGTATCTGAAAGCTATTATGCTTAAATAAAAAAATATAACTTACTAGTACTCAGGTTTATGTGCCATTTTTGTCCTGTAGACACTAAAAGTTTGGGGCTGGGGGCAGGGAGTTAAGGGTGGGCACAGAGGATTTTTCTGGTTTTGCCATTGTTTTGTTTTGATTTTGGGTTTTGTTTTTTTGCTTTACACATTGGCAGCGGTACACTGGTTAAGAAAGACAAACATGTTTTTTGCAAAACAAAGTATAACAAAAACATGAGAAAGCACAATTGCATTTGGAGTCTGGTATTTTCCCGTCAAGAACAAAAACAAAACAAAAAAAAACACACAAAACAAATCAATATGATCTTCGCTTTGAACTGGGAAAGCTATGCGTTCCAAAAGACCTTTTACTAAAGACATTTAAACTGTACAAAAACGAGACACTTTGTCAAGTGTAAACTCTTAAAAACTAAACACAGAAGAATCTGAACGACTCAAGCTTTGCTTTCCACTTCAAATGCTCCCAAACAGGTTTCTCCCATGGCTGCGATAGCTGAAGTGCTATTAGACTGTCTTCAGAATTAAACTAGATGCCAGGAGACAGTTTGCTTATTTTTGAACAAGTACATTAGAAACTAAGTAAATTAATTGCCTAATTTTTGGTTTCACTTTATCTTTGGCATAGGATACGCCAGTTTTCAAATTAAATCCAGGACATGGACCACTCCACGTTCCAACATGATGCTGAAAAGGCACATTTGCTGCTGCCTGGGCAGCAAGGGAAGACTTCTTATTTTGCAAAAGGCACGGTGTTTAGTGCAACATTCTTTCCCCATCCCCCAAAGAGTGTTTAGTTAGACCAGGTACAGTTCTACACAGCGGCTTCCCAGGAGCTGTCCGTTTTTCTCAGCCACTGCTTTCTTAGCTAGATCCAGGCTTGGAAAAGTCACCAATGCTTCTCCACTGGGCTGGCCACTGAAGTTGTAAAGCACGAGGATGGAATCTGTGTGGAGCTGCAATGGTACAAAAAGACAAAAGAAAACAAAAAAGTCTCTTAAGACCAGAGACCACACCTGGAAATGCAGTTTTTAGTGCTGTGCATCTGATTCACTCCACTCCTGTGTCTGTGGTGAAAAGATTCTGGCCGTAAGAATCAGGAGGAGGAGAATGGACCGAAGATTAAAGGAATCCAGCTTTTGGCTTGGAGAACAGCAGCAGCTCTTCTCCTGCTGGTGTGCTGAACAGAATGCTATAGACGTAATTCCATGCAAAGATTTTGCTTAAGAGAATTCAGATTAAAGGACGACAAGAAAAGAGAGACTTGAAGTTTATTAACTTTATGTTAATAAAGGGTAAATGGAGCAAGAAAGACTAAGCATTCAGTAAGTAATTGCGGTACTACGTGGACTACTGGCCAAGCAACAAAGGCTATAATGGATGTGAATACTCATACACAAAGTTTAAAAAGAATAATTAGAGAGCTGTGTGAGAGTTCTGTGGTGGGAGGATGAGCTGAACTTAAAACAGGTATACAGTGCAAGAAAGACTGCTTGGTAAAACAAAGTAAAATTTGGAGCGGTCCAACTGAACTAAAGAAATCTTTATTATAATTTTAACAAGGCTAAGAAAAAATCAGGCTAGCCAATGAGATTACTTAGTTGTTGGAGTTGATTTACTCTGGAATGCATTTGCCCCTGTGAATTTAGTTTCACAACGCTGAGTTTAGAGCAGACATCTGCCCTATGGTACCCCAGCCATTTCTCACAACATGCTGGAAGTCCTTCCAAGCTAGGTTTGGAAGTCCTGTTTGTCGGATAGAAATGGATCTCAGTGGAGTTTAAAAACCAAAGGTTGAAGGATCAAAAGCTCAGCACATATGATTAGTTTGTTGGAGAAATCAGTGCCAGACAAAAACATTGGTCCACACTGGAAAACCAACCAGTTCTGTGAGTATTAACCCAATTCAAGTTAAGTTCATGTGACATATGTCCTCATAAGTTAATAAAAGGTTAAAATATTTAAGGGTGTCACACTCTTTGTAGAACTTCTGCATGCCTGGTATGCTGCAAGAAATACCAGACTTCTCAGTTATTATCAATAACAGTTTCTGATCAGCTTTACGTTCAAATATATGAAAATAAAGTACATACATGCAAGAGCTTCACTCACCCAAACATTTAGCAGGCAGTAAAAGTATTCTTAAGATACAAGCAAGAGTACACTTTAGAAACTAAAAGCATGTATAAGACAGTTAGTACAGACTTCGTATCATCTTCTCACAGAACTAAAGTTAGCCAAGAAATAGCATGCAGAAAGAAATTCAAAGACAAATAAAAAACCATCACATCTGAAGTCCAATTCAGGTTTGGAAGTAATCTTTGTTTATGTCAGAGTAACACTGTGCTCAAAGAGAAAGCTGTACACAGTTTGGGTTGAGCTGCAAGTCTGAGCTCAAAGATGGTCAGCTCTAAAGCAGCTCTTTGCTTTTAATCCACATGGGATCAATTCAGCAGCAGTCCTGAATGTAAGTTCAGCATCACAGTTCACAGCCAAAAACACACATGGAGTTAGACCTCTGAGCAGAGAGGAGAGCTTTAAAAAGTAGTTTAAATAGCAGCATTGGTGTAATATCAATGTAAATATCTGGAAATTCACATTATAGGTGTTACATAGAATGTTACCAGAGAAGTCTACTCTTTCTCCAAGCAACATCATTAAAAGGGTTCAATAAAACCCTTCTGTTTTATTTTAAGACACTATATGTGTACACTACATGTGTATATATATGTATAATACTACTTTGGACTACTTAGAATTCAGGATGAGTTACTCCATAAATTATTTTTTAGTCAAAGACTGTTGTCATCTCCTACATAGAAGAAGCCTGCATCTGATCTGGTTTTCCAGATAATCTGGGTAAAACAAGAGCACCAAACAGATTGTCCAAAGTCACACAAACATGGAAAAGCTGAGAGTAATACTGGGTGTTCTTCTGTATACCACCAGACCACGCAGCCTCTCATCTACCTTCTCCCTAGCACATCTAACAGTATCATGAAAAACCAACTCATTTGAAAACAACCAACTCGATTGTGATTACGTGAAGGTAGCTTTACCTATGAAGGTACTTCTATCAAGGCACAATATTTAGTTGCCATTTTTTGTATTGAGAGTTTTGTGTATGGTTTTTTTAAGGAGAAAAAAACATAGTAACTAATCAGTAGAATTTTGAATGGAATACAGTGGTATTGGGAAGTCACGAACTCCACGTAAGTCACAACAAAATTTCTTCAAGAATTATGTGTCAGTGCCAAAAACGCAGGGAAGTTTACCATTAGCAAATTTAGTTAGTTGCATTAGAGAGCCATTATACCAAAGAAACCTATCCTAGAAAAAAAAAATGTAACAGTTGACATTGCATTAGAGAGATCAAGAAACAGAGCAATTAATCTCTAGATAGCTATATGACACAAGAAAGAGAAAGCCAGAGGTTTAGGGGTTTTTTTGCACGCACATTTGTGTGTGCTTTGCAGCCATACCACAAAAAAAAAAAAATCATCTTCTACCTCTATGCTAAAAACAAAATATTGGACTGAAAGCTTCACATGAGAAACAAACACTGCTAAACCCATCTGGAAGTTTAAAGACATGATCTGAGCAGAACCAGGCAATCACACGACCTCCACCACTTCATATCCCATCAATTACAGGCCACAATTGGCCTATTTCTTTAGGTTAGTTGATTTTTTTAGTAGGATAAAAGCAGAAAGATTAACGCAAGGATCCCAATGCAAGCTAAGAAGGGGAAAAAGCCATAAGCAGAAAACCTCCGTATCACCAAGCCCTTCGTTCCCTTCCCATTCACCGCTGGAGACCCAGTTGCTGCCAGCCGCATCTTACCTTCTTCAGAAGTTACAAAGAGTTACAAACAGACCCACTCTTTCGGTGCTTGTAACAGACTCCTTGCTTGATCGCTCAGCTGAATAAGGCCATTGTAGTCATCAGGTGCGTACTACAGTACAAGTGTGATATATGATAATCAGCAAGAGAAGGAACAGTTCTGGTACAGCAAGCCACACAGACGATCATTTGCAACCATAATTAAGAGCAACAGCTATAATAACTGGCAGGAGACAGTGAATTTGACAGATACTACTGTTACGCAAGATAAAAAAAAAAACACACATCAACTGAATTACTGGTAGTAGAAAAATATTTAAAGTAAACTAATGCGGGGAATATTCTAAACTGTGTATCTGAACTGTTCCTTACAGAATCACAGAATGTTCGGGGTTGGAAGGGACCTCTGTGGGTCATCTAGTCCAACCCTCTGCCGAAGCAGGGTCACCTACAGCAGGCTGCACTGGAAGGGAAATGGTTTAGACCATGAAGTGCTCCTTTTTTCCTTCTACTCATGAGATGGCAGCATCAGGCAACAAAACTCGTAAGTTTGCGTAATCATGCTTGCAGTAGTGACTTTGACTGGGACAGATGAGAATCTTCCAGCACGCATGCTGAAGTGGGGGATTAAAAGCAGTGTACGGATCTCATTCAGATCTCTTATGGAGTCTGGGAAATAAACTGCAGCTTCTCTACGGTTGAGTGATAAACACTTCAGCTGCATATAATAGACTTATATAGACTATACCAGCACAGTTAAAGAAAAACAATGTCCCAGCATGAATGCACTTTGAAGATAAAGTAGCATTTATAGTAACATAGTATAGTCCCATGTAGGAAAAAGAAATAAACTATACAGTGTAACTGCATCATGATAGGTTGGTAGACTACTAAAATAAAAATAGTGACTGCACCGTACAGTCACACCAATAAATTAAAACAGAAAAACCACACATGTGGGTCAGATCTAAAAAATATTTGAGATCCTGAATATGAACAGTAACCATGCATACCATTGGAGGGCCTGATATAAATATCAAATCCATACTTAGTAAACAAACCTTGGGGAATATGAAACATTGTTTTGTATCCATCTCATAATCTTTCCAAAATTACCTATCCTGGACAGTGACTGAGCATACCTGCGCATGCTACAAAGACTACTGGAGTAGGTCCTGTAATCCAGAAGACAAAATGTTTAGCATAACCCAAGTTACAGAATATCCTTTCAGTAGGAAGAAGAGTTCCCTCTCTCCTCCAAAACGGCTATTTTGCACTAACATTTTAGAGGATTGCCAAATGCACGCAATGTAGACATACGATGCTGCCTTCCTTTGATATTCTTATAGGGCAAAAAGTCTCCTGCCAGCTTAGGGAGAAAAGGTATTATACTTGGGCATACAGGACACACTGTATCCATCCAAAGTGAAATTGAAAAGGAAAAAAAACCATCACAGTATACACCTTCCACATAGAACAATAACCAAGAGCCCAGAGAATGTAAAAGAAAAGAACCTCCCAGAATTTTTACTACTGAATTCTAGCCACCTTCACTCTAGACCCATGCCACTAAGTAAAAGACAAATATAAGAAGTGTTTTCTAGATAGTCTCTGCCAGGGCAACCAGACCGTGCAAATATTAGATTTATCAGTTCCCAGACCTGCCCTTGAAACAAATCTACAAAACATAAGTTTAGTGTTTGGAAGGAATGTCTCAAGATAGTACATACTTTAGATTATCAGTAGATGTACAGTAGGTAAAGGTCTACAGTCTCTTGTGAGGGACAGTGTTTAAAAGGTTACACCTGAAATGCATAAACAATGAGGAACACATGAAACTGGGAAAACTACCCTGCACAGATATGTCAAAGTGGCCAGAGCTTAGGCCTAGGGCTAAAGGGAGAGAGCAAGAGAGAAGGAGCAAGAGAGAGGGAGCAATCAATGTGCCTAGCAACAGAAGCAACTTCTAATCACAAGAAAGATAGGTTAAGAGACTGCAGTTAATTAAAACAGAAGTTGTGAAGAGTAAATTCTTCAAACTTACAGATTTCAAAAAGTAGTACCGCAAACCAAGATAGGAGATAAAGTGGGGGAATTCTTATTCCCTGTGAATGAAATGGAAACTACCCCAACTTGCCTGAGAAAGCGCACGATCATGAATACTTCTGATTCTGTCTGCATTTCAGAAACCCATAAGAACAACCTAAAAACATCCAGTCACAGAGAGTTAACAGTGTAAAGCCAAGGGTGAACCTAGAAACTCCATGCTTAAAATGGAAATACAGTTTTGCTAGCTTCACCTGCAATGCAGTAGGCCAGACTCTGCCTCCATTCAGATCTGAAAAATATCACCTAGTGATTTAACCCCTCCGTATAACCAGTTGCAAGTTCACCGAGCTAGATTCTAGCAGCTTGTTTCCTGTATAAGTGCTATTGAGACCTGAGACAGTATGACAAATACAGAGATAATACGAAACTTCACACGTTATTTTCAAACCCTACCCTTAACACACAAGTAACTGGTAAGAAGTCAAAGTACTCCAGTATTTCCCCTTAAATTTAAGTGAAATGAAACTAAAAGCAGACCTCGCTCTTAGTGCCTCCGGTACCTTCCTCACCCCACTGTCATCTCATTCCCACCTTACTTGTGTCACTGAACTGAAATACAGCCTCTTTTCTCAGAGCTGCTGCCTTCTCCCCTCCTCCCTTTGAGCTCACAGCTCTTGAGGTGTTGGACTTCCCTTCCAACCTCAAAGATTTTGTGATTCTTTCTCACCCAGGGGTTTCCACTTGCTCTCGGCATCTCAACAGTAGCATTAAAATGCAGTGGTCTACTGGAGAGACACAGTAGAAAATCTTGCTTTTTTAAGCGATTACTTAATCTACGAAACAATCTCTATCAAAGTTTTCCTCCATCTCATCCTATTAAATTGGATACTCTCATGTGCTCATAGATAATGAACAAGGGAGATCTATTTCCTAGAATGACTGAAGGAGACCATAAAGCAATTTCCCTCTTCCCCTTGAAGTAGCCATCAAGAAGTCTAGCTTAGTGTAGCAAGGAAGATCACATAGAACACCATTGTTAAACTACAAGCTCCATTAGAAGAGTCAGCCTTGGAGCTAAGGACATCAGGATATGGTCCTCAGCACATGCTTTGGTGTTATACTGACTTCTTCCAGTGAAGAGAGATGGGAGCTAAGGTCAAGAAAGATGAAAACTAAATATGGAAACTAGGTATAGGATAAGGCTTCATGTGAAAAATGGTGTTGCATGTGAAGAATGGCATTTCCTGTTCCCTACATTCCTCCTCTTATCTCCCCTGTGGCAGTGGGGACTTCTATAGCTTAAGACTTGTCTGTTAGTAATGGCAAAATGACGTTTCCCGAAGGATATGTTGCTTCTCTACAGAAACAGCAGTTTACCTCACAAGCGTACGGTAAACACCATTCTAGGTATCAACATTTCAAATGGCAGAGATATTTCAACTCATTTATACATTAAATAACAGTTTTTATAATATTAAATAACATATTACAATACAGTAATAATAATGTGACAGACATATATCAAATACTACTAACTCCTCCTTCCTAAAGGAGATGACCATTTCTGTCCAACCATTACCTCCAGCATGGCAGCAGCTCCCAGACAGACTATTTGCTACGCTTACTGCAGCGCAGAACTTCAGATCACAGGAATCCGAGGCAGACTGGTTAATAAAGAGGTAGTATACTACACTCTCAATTCAGATATGGTTGTTTGTTTTTTTTTTTTCTTCAAGAAATTGTATCTCTTTCAGAAATACTTGTTACATTGAGGGGAATATGGGACTGTCCTTGTCCCCTCACAGTCTATGCACAGATTTAACAGGGTCACTAACCAGCGAGACCTTGACTTCCATTTCATTTTTGCAGTTCCTACAGCGGACATTCAAAGATCAGTCTGAAACAGCACATGCAAAGCAATCTAGGGAAAAAAAATCCATTGCTAAAAATGAAATTAAAATTGGAAAGTACATTTAGACATGCCCCAACTGGGAAAAAAACAAGGGGAAATGAAAGCTAAAAAAATTTCCCACCTGGAAAAGAAAACATCATAAGCAAAATGGCCTCTTCAGGATTGCCGCTGCAATTCCAGCCTAAACTACCGATAAAACTCTGTCACAGAACAGTTCCCAAAGGGAAGAAGTCCACCTCTCAGACTTTGGAAAAAAGTCTAGATACAGTAAGTCTGGAATGTAGAATCTGGTATTAAGACTAGGTAACTATAACCTTCAGCACAAGAGTCAGGAGAAATACCCAAAACTGGCTTTACCACTAAAGTATATCAACTGTACCTTCAGGGTGACGATACAAGCACTGGCAACCACCTGAATGCTCTGTGGAACAGACAGTGAAATATGTAATCCCTGTTCCCAAAAATACAGCTTGAAGATGGTGCCACTTAGTCTCTTGCTTCAAGCATGGGAGACACCAGACAGCAACAGTAACTGCTATTTTAGTGGATCCAGTCTCACAGAGGCTTCCTCCAAACAGGTAACATTCCCAGCTGGAAGATAAATTTAGGAATAAAGAAAAACAAGCAGCATATTGTATTCTGAGTGCATGGTACTGAGCATAGAATATCACCTATATTGCCAGATGACTTCAAATACCAGTCAGTGCAAATTCTTCCTCTGCAACATCCTTTTTCCCTTTCCCTTCGGCACACAGATGATGGGGCATCCCTCTCAGACTATGAAGCGTCAGATTTCAAAAGGAACCCATAGGAAATAGAGAATACTTCTTTGTTCAAGCATGCATTTCAGAGAAAAAAAACTAATCCCTAAAAAGTCAGTAACAATGAAGCCCGCTGTCCTGACACAAGAGCGAAATGTTGTTAATGCCCCTGGAATTTCGCCATCCATCCCCTTCCCTTCATTTCCTTAGCACTGTTTTAAGCACAAGTCATCCTCCTCCTCCCCCACCAATGAGCCCTGAATTCTGTGTCTCTGAAGATCTGGAGGATTAAATATGCTGCAAAAGCTCTTTTTAGCTGCATATAAAAGGCACCGAAGCCCGGTACAGGTTTAAAGAATAGTATTTATTTTAAGCTTCTCTTACACAAAAATATGTACACAACAAAGTCCCTACATATTCATCCTAGCCTTTTTCAGCAAATTCAGGAGGATTTAAATACAGCTCAAATGGCGACCATGGCCCCTAAATGGTAATCTCCTTAGTCTTCTCTCCTTTAGTTTTTTACCAGTTCTGAATGAAATATACTACTACGCTTACACACAACTTACCTATCTAGCAAGTCTGCTTTCTAAGAACTAATCCACACGGTCTTTTTCAAGCAGACGTGAGTTCACTTCACATTCACGCCGGCCTCCAAGAAACTGGGCAACTACTACTAAACGCATGCTGAATTCCAGCTAAGACAACAGCTGTGAACTAGGTTTTGGTCAGCCAAGACCATGGGCACGGTTAAATTGCATCTACATGTCCATAAACCTAACAGTTCTGATCAGAACACCAACTCTGTCAATACTAGCAATAAACCTGCATTCTCATAAAAAGAAAAAAAAATAGGTCATTATTTGGAGACTAGAAAGATTTCTCACTGATTCATTTAGTGACTAAAGAGTAAAATCCATAGAGGATTTACCCAGCAAATAAAGACATTTTAGTGAAAAATTTTGTTCTGATATTCACAACTTCATGTAAAGCCACCCAACTACTACACTTGTTCCTTCCCTATTTACTTGATTTCTCTCTTTGCTTCTACAACTGTACAGAGTGATGGCCTAAAGTAACACTGACAGGTCTGTTGCATGTAATTACTATTTTTGCACTACTTCTTCCTCAAACTTTTCCCCATAGGATCCGAAATATGAATTATTGTTCTTAATTCTAGAAGGGTCTCTTCACAATCATGTATTTTTTGAATTACAAGGGAAGTTTCCCGGAACTGTGCATGGATGCCTTACTTCACCATAACCCCCAAAGACAAGCATCTGCTGAGCAGCTAGTGTTGCAGCACCTCTCAGAGCAGCTACCAGCGTCTCACTGTCCTACCTGAACTGTACGGTGAGGGGGTTTGTTGTGGTGGGTTTGGGTTTTGTGGTTATTTTTTTAAGTATCCTTTAGCTATGTATCCAGTACATTACCGGAGTCAAATCAATGGCCCTGCTGCATTACGGTACAACTAAAAAGCAGTTTAACATGAATTACTTAGTAAATAAGAGTGCTAATAGTAGCTCTTTTGAAGATTACAGTACACCACAACGTTATAGAGAAAGGTGATGGGGAAAATTACTGTCTCCAAGATTTACTATTAAAATTCTTCACAGGTTTTTCAAGGTGGTTTAATGGAAGATACATTAAACTCCTGCAAGCTGGAAAAAATATTCAACAATAAACACAAAAAACCAGAACTACAAGAATAAATCAAACTGCTGAACCACTAAACAAGAGGCTAGTACTGATAAAGTAAAATCAAAACACTGATCTGCAGATTGTTACATTATTTATTATTAAAAGCATGTACTGATTAGAGACCAGCTTGTTGAAGCCCATGATAAGCAATGTCTGTCTCTTAAGAGGCAGGTCTGGTATGAAAGGTGCTTTCACTTAAGTAGCTACATGTCCATACATGCAATATACAGAGCCCATGACAACTGTAGGAAGAAAACAGATGAGAATAAGGCAAGAAATAAAACTTAAAACCGTTTTGTTTCAGACAACGACGTACAAAGACAAAAATCACCCTTCAATCTCAGCATCTCCAATCCAGTTCCCAGAACACCAACACTGAAGCCCACTGAATACCAACATCAATTAGTTATACAGAGATTAAAACCATGCCCAAACCACTGACGATTATTAGGGGCTCACTTTATGAACGAGCAGAAGCATGGTGCAATAAATCCTTGGGCAGCAGCAGAAAATGAAAAACTAATGTGATGAGAGAGGAAAGGCAAGGAAAAAAGAAAAAAAAAGTTAGTTCTTGCTCCAGAGACATAATATTGTCCCAATACAGTAAGTCACCACTTCTTTTTTTCCCCTGAAGGAATGAGCGAGTATAAAACCAGCATTACCACATGCGGGATTCCAAGAACAATTCAAAATAATTCCTTGGCTCCTTTATAAGATATTGAACCCAATCTCACTTGGACAACATCTTCTAAAGAAATCAAAGAGGTGACCAATTTAATAACAGTAACTGATGACGACAGGAGGTTGCAGCAGAAGAATACAGTTTTCACCCTGTGGCAGAATTTCTATTTATTTGAAACCTTTAATTGTGCATTACGAACACTATGAAACGCTCTCTAAGCGCAGAAACTAGGAAAAGGGCAAATTCAGCACCAGACCCGCAGTCCTGATCCACTGAACTGAAGATTTAGCGGCAGACAGACCCACTACACATTGTCACTGACCTGTTCCACGCACAGACAGGTTCAGGTCACATTTTTCAGTGGTGGACTTGCACTTCTAGCTGAATTTCAGTTTAGAAAGTAGGCTTTCTCATTTAAGGTTTTAATACACCCACCATCCATCCACCAAAAACCCCAGTCAGCTGGGGGGCAAAGGTAAAGTATCAATGGCTAAGCAACAGGCGAATGATTACTACTGCTTGTCTGGATATCATGAAAGCCACAAGTAATCGAACTCGGCTTGAACTCTGGAAATATCTGTGGAAGAAAAAGCCCTAAAATACAATAAGATTTAGTTTCTTTTTAATGTTTGTCAAAATTCATCACACTGTTTATAAGCTAACCTTCAAATTTTTCCACTGAAAAACCAAGTATGCAAAAATAGTTTCAAACACAAATGTAACCTTTGAAAAGAAGTCACAACAGGTAGAGCACTGTATCTTCCAAATACTCAAAAAATTGAAACCTATACATTTAAATACCTGTTCTCAGGCTACATTCATTTACATAGCAGACATCTGGCCCTACAAATTAAAACCCATTGTCCCTTAAGAATCTTCAGGAAAAAACAAAAAACATACCATGCCTGAAAGTTTTGCATTAACTGCTGCTATGCATTAAAGAGAATCCACCTGCACCTTACTCTTCAGCAATCCTACTGGTACTACACTTACAGAATTTTGAAGGACAAACATGCAAAAATTGTCATCTTTTCACATGTATCGTCTGAGCTGTGGTTTGAGACCCACCAAAAGGATTTTCAGTCAGGGCTTCTGAGTAGCACCCAAAGGGTAGATTTGGTATTTGTCTAAGTGCTGTTATCCACAGAAGTTAAATACCAGAATATACCATATTCAATTATCTTTCCTTTTAGCAAACATGTGATGACAAAATATGGATATAGATACAACATCCTCTGAGATGAAAGGTAGAAGACATGGAAACATCCATTCCATGAATTCAAATAAGTGCTGCTGGCAAAAAAATTTGTACGTGGTGTTTTTTTTTTTTTAATGTTCCTCAAGAAGATACGTTTCTGTGTTTGCTCACTGACAGAGCATTGAACGCGTACATACTGACTGAAGTTACCTACAGCACGCGGAACATTTGCTATGAGTATAAACCTGTTCAGAAAATAGAGTTTTCCTTTAGGTTACAGCGTAACGCAGTTTTAACAGAAAATGTTCCTGCCTGTAACCAAAATAATTAGTCTTTGAAACGGACACCTCTCAGACACTCTTTGTCTCTCTCCTTTTGCAAGCAAGTCACCACACCCAGGTTACAGCCTTTTGTACTAGAAATTTGCTCTCAGCAGACTTTGATGTTTAAGCCTTGCAGGTCAAACACCGACAGTGCTACCTAGGGCTCCCACCAAAAACCAGCCAGGACTGAAAGATTTTGGCAGCTCTCGCCTTCCTCTGGCAGCCCCTTCGCAGCCCTGCTCACACTGGGGCTCTACACTTTCTCCGTCTCCAACTCAAACCCTAACGCTAGACACTAAATCACTGCTTTTAAATTAGAGTATGTTTATTACATAGGAAATAAGGCAAACTGTGCATTACACTTCACTCTGCCAGTTAAATATACAACATTAAGCTTACACACTTCTTCAGCAATTTCCAAAAGCACTCGCTTGCTCAGTTTGATCCTCACCGGTCATTACTCAAAGGTCCAAATACCGTATCATGGAGAGGGACTGCATACTAACCTGGTACCCCTGGAAGAAACTGAGTATCTCCTTCACTCCTGTATTATACGGCAAGCCCTGCATACGGACTAATGCTCCAGGCTGGGGCAGAATCGGAGTGTGGGCGGCAGTGGCAGGGGGAGGCGGGCAAGACCCTCGGCGGGCAGC